TGTTATCTTTAACTAACAATTAGCCTAATTATATATTTAGATTAGATTTGTATTTAGAAATACTTTCTAATGATCAAACTTTTGTTTCTATAAATTATGTATTATAAGAAAATTTATAGGTCAAAATATGTTCTTGAAGACCGTATCAAGTCAAATCGCGCCTTATATCTGAGGACGGAGGGAGTAATAACGTTGAAAATTATGTCGAAGAGGTCAGTCAAAATGGCACCTGACTCACTGAATGCAAGGATTACATGTAAACCAAAGTACGGACAGCCCATAGAAGACATCTCACGGATAGCGTTCAGTTGGACCTGACACCTTGCCCCCCCCCAAAAAAAAAAAATAAAATAAAGTTGGACCTGACCTTTTTTTTCCCCAAGACAACCAGTTGGGCCATGCTCTGCCACATACTTGCAGTCCAGCAGGAGCTGAAGAAAACTGCAGCAGCTCTGTTCGGAAGTTTTGCCGCTGCACCGTGGAAATTCAACTTTGACATCACTATTATATTAAGTTCAGAAGTACAGCAACCTGCCTCTGCTTAGATTGGCACCCAACTAGTTCCCAGTCTGCGTAGCAGACAACTCTGGGTCTCCTATTCATAATTCGCATGGAATTCAGATCAGTATTTCCCAAGTAAAACTGAAATCAATCACGTAGCAAACAGATATGGAAACCAAACGACACGATGCACATCATCATATGCAGTAGAGAACCACGTTAGCTGACTGACAGCACTGCTGCTGAACAAGTAGGTAAAGCAATAGCTAACGCCCGGAGTTTTCAAGCATCACACATGCATGCATACCTAGCCACAGTCACGCATCTTGCGTTCGGTTGTTACAGGAAACGTTCACAACCATCTGAATACATAACCAACCATGCAACAGAGTACGTACATCATCAGTTTATCTAGATGTAGGAACGCGAATGTAGGACGACAAGATACTGACATGCACACTTGCCTTGCTAGGAACTATACATGTCTTTGAAGCTGCAGACCAGGTATGCAAAGCCTCCTACGGCGGCTTCGATAAACAGGTGTGTCTAGGTTCTATTCCATGTCGCAGCCATGATTTCTAGAAGTTTTCCATTGCACCTAAGCTTTAGTATAGATACATGTGCTGGTGGCTTTTGCCGTGGCCATATGTGTCCATGGATATGTTCTCCTCATTGCTGACCTTAAAACATACCTAAAATTATGTCTTCTTTTCGACAGTAGTCGGTGTATGGTGGTACATCCTCTCATATGTTTTCGTTATAGCTGTGGCATTTACAGTTTTCCTCATCCAGCCATTGCTGCTTGGTGCTGTTTTAGAAAATAATCGATGTTTTGGTTGCTTTGCTTTTCTTTTGTCGGATGAAGTCAGCACGCTGCTAAGGACATGATAGATTCTATTTAGATTCCTCACAGGGTGCAGTTTATGCCTCTTGCTTGATAGAGTTTAGCAGGGTATATTAGTGTGAGAGACAATATATTCTCATAGCATTCCCTACCATTTTCATGCTATAGCAGTCCTTTTTAGATTTTACATGAAGGCTTACTTTCTGAAACACCATCAAACATTATATGTTAATCTCATGCTTTCGTTCACATGCACTCCACATTGTCTACAGAGATCTGGCTATATGACCATTACCTAGAGCTTGTGGCCATGCTTGTTCTAGATCCCATGTTTTGAATGTAGACAATTGTTTAAGCTCTTGCTTAGTGGCTACTGCTATTGTTGCAGCTGAAACTGAAATTTTCAAGGCCTGGACTGCATCTGAGGGAATCCTGGTAAGAGTTTCTAACCATAACGTTTGCCGTCTATTTATTGCCATCTATTTTGACCTCACCTCTATCATGCCGCGTAGGACATGATGGAGCTTTATCATGCTGGTTTTCGACTGACCTCTGTTTTGACGATGTAAACAGGTTGTTCCCCGACGCTTTTGATGGAGCTGGTGCTGGTGGTTTGTCATGTTGGGCCTGTACAGTTAGTTGATCGTGTTGCATGTACTATGCCGTGCCATCCCAACAACTATGTCATGGTTGTGTTGCATGTAGTATGCTGTGCCGCCCCAGGAACTATGTCTAGAAATGACTGTCTAAAGGATCTATGTACTGTGATGCTTTTGCATCTTGCGCTCCGGTTTGGACATCTGGTTTATGTACTCCATGTCTCGTGTACGGTATAATTGGATTTGAGCATGGTTTGTTTGATGATCTCAGCGACCGTGGGTGTAGGATCTGTGACTGACCTTGGGGACCATGTTGACTGCTATGCGTTATTATTTGTGGTGTGTTACGCTCGAACATGTTGGTTTCGGATTATGCGTTCTTTATTGTTTTGCTTCCTGTTTGTGTGCCATTTTGCGCGGAGATGTAAGACGCTGGAAGCTCTCAGGGACTGGCTACTGTCGCCTCTTCGCAGCATTGGTTTGGTTATGTGGAATATCATCTACTTGAGTTTTAGATTGCCAGATTTATGCCGCTTATTAGACAGACCATGTTGTCTACCCTGAACTAAACTCTTTTGCTTTCAATCAACTTTAGTTATCCTGGGTCCAATCCGCGCGCAAGGGGCGTCCCCGGCGAGAGTGGCCCCAGCGGGGGAAACCCAACACCGGTGGCCTCCGAAGCGGCAGCGGTGTGGACCTAGGTCAGCGCCCGGCACAGCGGCCCAGGTGAGGTCGCGGAGGCAGTGCAGCCCGGTCTATGTGCCGCGGGGGTGCGGAAGCGTGGATCTGCTCCAGCGTCCAGCTAGCAGCGCCTATCGCCACCTTCTCCTCTCTTGTCGCACTGTCAACAGGAGCAACGGCGGCTGTGCCCGGCAGCTATAGATGTCCATCGGGCTGGCCCGGCCTGGCATGGCCCGGGCCCGGTGAAAGCACAGCCCGATGAGGGTTGGGCCGGCACGGCACGTCATGCCTGCCGGGCCATGCCCAAGCAGGCCTCATGCCTGGCTAGTGGCCCAGGCACGGCCAGCTGGGTCGAATTTTGGGGCGGGCTGGCCCGAAAAGCACGGCCTGTCGAGGAGGTCGGGCTAGCCCGAGGCCCGCTTCAGCAGGGGAAGAGAGGATGGTGGCGCTCGAGGCTGCGTCGTTGGCGGCGGGCATCAGATCTGCGCACAGCGCGCTCCAACGGCGGGGCTGCGGCGATGCCCATGTCTGAGATTCACGGGGAGAAGGGAAGGAAGGAGGCGAGCGGGGAGGGTAGACTGCCGGAGATGGCGCCATGGCGGCGAGCAATAGGGCGCCGCGCGGATCTCGGGGAGGAGCTTGCGGCCAACGAGGCGAGGTAGAGGTGGCTGTACGGTGGTCGGTGGTGCGACGGAGGAGGCGAGGTAGGAAGCGGCGCCGATTTGGGCGGAGTCGCGACTCGCGAAGGAAAGAGCGGAGCGGCATTGACGGATGAGACGAGGCGAGGCGAAGGTATTGTGGCTGCTGTACGACAATACGAGGAAGCTATATATTTGTATTAGGCTATATAGCATTGGGCTTTAGAACCGATCATGTTGGCTTACTAGGAAGTAGAAAACCTACTTTGAAGAAAAAACATCGGACTAGCACTAGCCCGATTCTATTTTGCGGGCCTGGCCAGGCCGGCTGGCGTGCCTAGACAGTGGCCTAAGCACAGCCCTAAGCATCAGGCTGGGCCAGTCTAGGCCCGCTCATCACCGGGCCAGGTCGTGCTCGGGCCAGGCAAAAAAAACCGTGCTTCCAGCCGTGCCGCACATGCTGCAGGCTGCATGGCATCTATACCGGCAGCTATCTGCCCAAGGGCGTGGCCATCCCCTAGCGGGCGCCTCGGCGGGTGCGGCGGCGGCCTAGCCCCCTCAGAGCAACACCTCAAGAGAGCCGCGGGCCTCGGGAGGCAGCCGCCCCAGTCACGTCGGTGGTATTACTGTGGGGCGATCCACGAGCTGCTAGCTACGACGTACGCTCGCTTGTCAGCGCTCCAAGCGCGCGGCGCATGCCCTGCGAGGGGACTGTTGCTGGCCCGGTCCCGCGGTTCTGGCCACCTGCGGCTGACTTGGGGGCCGTGTACTATGTGGCCTGCTTGGCGGTGGCCGGGGGCGCTCCTAGACGAGGTACGGCGGACATGCTGGGCCTATTCCGGCTGGTTGTTGTCGACGAGGGATTGCTATCCATAAACATTTCTGGTTTTCAAAAAAAAAAAAAAGTGGAGCCAGCCCGCGCGCAGGAGCGCGCATTTAGCACTAGTACGTACATACTAGTTGGCAGGCTCTGCAGGCGTCCACAAAACCAGCTTGCGTTTTGCTGAGAACCCAACAGGAAGTGCAGGCAAACTAGCACACGCCTGCAGGTTGCTGCAGGGCAATCAATTTTTGCACGCTGATGATGCGTGCTGGGTGTCTGCAGACAGGGCCGCTTGCATCCCAACCTATTCCCTCCGTCCTCCAAAAAATACAATTATACGAAACGTGCCGATCAAACTAGTTCAACTTTGACCAAATTTACAATAAATAATATTAGCATTTAAGTCTCCAATTAAATTTATTATGAAAATATATCCTTTAACTAATCTAATGATACTTATTTTGTTTTATGAGAATTAGTACACTATTACATAATTTTAGTCAAAGTTTGAACTGTTTCACTCCTCGAAATACGATAATTGTATTCATTTGTGAACGGCGTGCGGATGCTGGCACCACTGGACGACATGGCTATGGCTGTTCCCCTGATTGATCTGGACAAACCGCCCCTTGATGACGTAGACGCTAGGCCTGCAGATGGTGCGGAACCAGGATCACGGGTCGAACCGCTCTAGCTAAACCGATATCTCGCTTTATAGTCGTGTGCTTAATCTGATAACGAGTAACATTTCTGATCTAGATCTCGTTCATTTCGTGCATTACAAAAATGTTCTCTCCCACATGAAAGCTAGAGCAACTAATTCAAAAAAAAAACGCTAGCTAAGGGATTAGTCAACTATACTACAAATTTGTTTAAATATTGAACTTCATTTTTTCTCCTATTCTGAATGATGATTACCTAACGTCTGCTTGACTAAACTGCAACAATGACAGATAGACGATTATATAAAACAAATGTGAGGACACTTTGTGCTGCTCTCCTTTGACGCGTTTTGCATGATGTTGCTTCTCTAAGTACTTCTAACCTTTGAAATTGAAATAGAACATTCAGAGAAAACACTATAGTCCTGCAACAAAAGAACATCAAAATAAGATTGAAAATAATGGTATATTATAGCAATGGGAGAACAATAGTGCAATACAATTGTTACAGTAATGAACAACACCCAAAGAAATATGACTTTGCTTAAACAAAAACATTTACATGGTGGCCCAAGGCCATAAGAGGGAAAAAGATTTCAGCGGAGCATATTCTTGGTGGCCCCTTAGCCTGCAGCATTTCAATCGCCCCTGCTCTGCATTCTCGCACCACCATCCTCAGTTGCTGCATATTTCCAGATCGACTGAATATTTGACTAGAGACTAGAGAGCAGAGTTGTACTCACACTTCTCCAAGAAAAATATTAACACCATGATCTATAATATGATGGTCAAAGCTGGGAGCTACGCAAATCATTACCTCTTTATTTCAAATTTTGCGTGACATGTTCCAATCAGGAAAAAGGCATCTAGGATTGAATAGTGCAATATAACATACTTTCCTCAAACGACAATGCTAACATTTTTTTAAACTGTAGATGGCCAAAGTCTCACAAGTATAAATTTGATGAAAAACAAAGGTGGTAGGTCAAGAAAGGAGGAAAAAGGAACTTTCTCAAAAGAAAGAGGAGTAACTATATATTGAGCAGTATAGTCCAGTTGGTCAGAGTACCCTGGCGGCACTCCTCAGGTCTTGGGTTCGATTCCCCGTGGGATTGAATTTCAGGCTGAGGTTAAAAAAATCACCTCGTCCGTCCCATATCCAAAGCATTGGAGTGGGGGGCACCGGCCCAATTCTCACTTGGGTGACGGAAAGCCACCGTGTAAGGGTGGGGCGGAGGTTCGGGGGTTTTCTCGGCCTGGTGAGGTCTTCTTCTTATTTGGAATGCTGTGGGGGCAGTCTTAACCCCTTCAGGTCGAGTTTTTTTTTTAGTATAGTCCCTTCCTCAATTGGTCCAGATCCTAACTGTCCATTCTAATGAAATGCCGTGTAGTCTCATTTATACTCAGCGCAATGCTGAAAGCTATATGTGTTAAACAATCTAACAAAAATGCTCTCTGAAGGAGGGGGGGAAATCGAAGTAGCACACCTTCAGTTGTGAATTAGTCTTCAATTCAGTCTTCACAGCTTGAAGGACCATTTGTGGAACAGTCCAGTGCAGCATACCTTCAGAACTCCTGAACAGCTAAATGGACCATGTCTTGTAGATGGCAAACACCATGAGTAAAGGAATGAAGAAGAAAAGTACTGGCGCATGGAGCAAAGGGTTCATAGCATAAGCCTTCACAAGCGCTCTGCAAAGCTGCATAAAGATAAGGGGTCAGAAAATTGTTTGGAATAGAGATAACTGCAAACACAGAAACTTGTACGTGTGCTTTTATACCTTCCAATGTTTCCATAGAACCACCACGCAAAGAACACACAGAAATTTCCTAATCCAGCGACCATTCCAAAAGTTTTCATGTTCTATCTGTCTCCTGCTCTTTTGGTAGTAATCATCTTTCTTCTTTCCTGATCGAGAAAGATAATGCTCTCGATATGCTGCTCTCTCAGCAGACATGGCAGCTAAAATCACAATAGTGGGTAGTAACACGAAACAAAGGTGGGGTAGAACAATGACCATGACATCTGGAATCCCAGCATGGACTACTTCGTTGCTACTATTGGGCCCTTTTAGAATCCAACCTTTATATGTCATGTATGTCAAGCTACCATCTTCAGTGATAGGGTGACCAAATAACCAAGGTATAAAAACTAAATAGATAGCGTATAACAGGAGCAATAACCATACAAGAATCACCCTGGCGAGTTCAACAAAAGAACAGATGAAATCTCCAACTAGAGACTTCAACAGTGTCCTCTGACTACCATATGTGCATAGAGATTTATATGTGAACTGATCTTTGAATACCACCGCTAAAACTTGTGGTACAAGAAGCAACGAAAAAATTAGAGAAAAGGCACACCACAGTGCAGGATGATATATTGAAGCCCACTGAATACCAATCACAAAAAACTCTTTCCATGTCCAGTTCACTCTTGCCGACAAGCCGTTAACAGAGAATGGCCTCAACTGGCTGACACTTGTGTCACCTGTTATATCCATCACTTCAATTTGGAGCCAATATCGGCTGGGAGAGGAATCTTCAAATGCCCTCCAGTTCCATGGTATCAAATACATATTTCCTCGAGTTTCATTGGAATCCACCCTTTTCATTTCAGAGTCAAAGACTACTTCAAGAATTCCTGGTCTTGAGTCATATATTTTTACAGAAACAGATACCATCTCATGTTTAGAGAATACAAGAGCTCTCACAGTATCAAAAGACGATGCCCCCATGACATGACATTTGAAATCACGAAAAGCAGAGGCTCTCTGCATGAATCTTGAATCAAGGGGAAAGGTAGGTAGTATTATTATGCTCTTTGAGCCTAATCTGAAATCTATATCAGTATAGGAGACATAGCCATCATCAACTGCTAGTATCCTCATGCTTCTGCTCTTTCTCCAATCACCCATCTCCCATTCCCAGAACTCTTCAATATGAGCTGCTTCTTCAGAACAGTTTTTCATATTACTCTGGATTGCATCTCCTTGGTGCATGTTAAGTTGGTAGTAATGCTCTGAAAATGATGGTTCCTGGACTGCCCGATGGTAGTATCGTTTCAAGTTCTTCCCGAACCTTGTATGAAGATGCCCACACAAGTATGCTGCCAATGATTGCTTTAGAAAAACATCCTTGATACTTTTTCCTGACTCTGTTAATGCTGAGAAAGACAACGGGAAGTGCCCAAATGCAATTTTTGTCACTGGAATCTTGTCAAAGTCAGTATCCCACTGTGATAACGCTTGATCCAATTCAATCACCTGCTTGTCAGTTGGATGTCCAAATAGATTGGTTGGACCTCTAAGACCAATCTCCATTGTGCTATCAAAACCAACAAACAGATGCTTCCGACCACTATTCTGCAGATCATTAAATGCAGCTTCATGTGTATTTTAAAAGCAATTGGAAGAACACTATATATAACAAATAACAATACACTTGAACTACAGGATGGCAACGAAATAAGAAGTACCCCCTCCGTTCCAAATTATAAGATATTTTATCATTTCTAGATACATTAATTTTGTTATTTATCTAGACATAGTGTATATCTAAGTGCATAACAAAAGCTATGTATCTAGAAAAAAGCCAAAACGTCTTATAATTTGGAACTGAGGGAGTACATCTTTCTTCCTGCACAAGATAAGTATTGATCATACATAGAGAAACTACTGACCTCCAAAGTAATGCTTTGGACACGCCCCTGCCGTCTTAACTTGGCGTTGATGCTATACTTATTATAAAAGTCATAGTCGTCACCAGATGCCGGCACACCAAAGCTATCATGATTTCCTCTCAGATCATAGAAAATCCTTCTTGGAAGCTTGCTACTTTCAATGATTTCCTTCATTGTACGTTCATATTCTACCCATTCGACCTTGTTTTGTTTCATTGTTAACAGATCTTTGCTTTTCCCATCTGTTAACAAAAACCGAGATATCTATTAGAAACTTGAGAGAACTCCCTTGGCGATAGTATTTCACCTTCTGAAAATGAATGTAGCTCGTTTCTCAGAGGTGTTAGTTACTTCCTTTTATGCTGGATGGATCAACTTGTGTGATGCTGATCAATATTACAGACTTACAGGCGGCTCTCATTTCCAAATGCTGAAACAGGTAATGGAAGATCACATGTTCATTTAACTAAATTTTGCATTTGCATAGGGTTCAAATTTATTGGTTTGGTTACTACTTCATATCATTTTTTTTCAATATAAAAAAGAGTACACGTTGCCTATTAGTAACACAGTCAAATACAAATCCCTCAACAATACAAGAGCCCTACATGCGATGGTTTACAGGTCTTGGCAATCTGTGGTTACCACCTAGTATTTCATTTGGAGAAAATTTGTATCTGTTCTATGGATTGTTTGTTGTAACGGTGAAATCTCTAACTTTCGAAACCTGAGTTCAAGCTCATGCATCTCATTGGGCCACGTCATACTTAAATTCTCTGCCATCCGATCGAGCAGTACCTATATCCTATGGCTAACATGGCTCTGTCGTTAGTGGCTTCTGGTCACCTGCAGCGAGTTCCAGAGAAATCATGGCTCACGACCCTACCTCTCTTGCCTTTTTTTTTAATCCGTGATGTCACCCTTTTTGGCCTTTTATCTTCCAGTTAACCATGCAAAAGAACAGGCAGCAGCAAGAGGTTGATTCCATAGTGTTAAGGGTATTAGTGTAATCTCCCTAGTCCAGGGTTTCTCTCTTGTGTCCCCTGTATTCTATATATAGACTAGGGAGATTACACTAATACCCTTAATACATAGAAGAAAGCGACGTGAGCAACAGGTACTCCCAACTATTAATCCACTTTGTTTCAATCGACCGGGAGACAGATATATGTTATTTGTAAAATTTTATGGTGTTAAATATAGATAAGATAAACTTGCTTCCAGTCAAACAGTGTTGATGTACAACTGTTTCTTAAGTAATTGGTAGTGCTGCTATTAATCTGTATTCTGGAGCTACAGATTTTACAGGCTCGATAACACCATGTTTGCCCCTCTACCGTGCACCTGGTGAGGAGGCGGCCGCATCTGACTTATGACTGCTAGGGAAGGCTGCTGCATCTGCGAGGGAAGGCTGCTACAGCACATAGAAGCACCCTGGACATTAGCCCCAAATTCTCTCATCAATTTCCCCCTACTTCTCAGTTCTAAATATGGTGGAAAAGCTTACGTACTTAGCATAGTGTGATCTGCTATGTACAGCTGAGAAATAAGTTTTGTTTATGTACAATACAAAAGCCATCCCTATTGCAATCTAAATAGATTATACCAACTTATAACTTACACTTGTGGTGTGATTGCAAACTAAGCAAATGCACTCTATTATTTCAGAGCTCTGAATTTAGATGCGTGTTCTGCATGACAGGGTTCAGAAAATTAATAAAAGGGCATATTAACAGATTGATGCACAGTCCAGCTATTAGGAGAAATCCAAATCACATTGTCACATTATAGACCACAATATGGCGCTGTGATCTGCATTTATATGACAAAAATGCAAACATCAAGCTAATGCCCTAACAGCTTAACCTCAAATGAAAATGCTCTGTATTATCTCTTGTTGCTTCTCTGCTGCCACACTTCCAGGTTATAAGCAAGCACTATGGGATGCGCTTTTCTTTGATTCAAGCAAGCCTACCAATTCTTCAAGTTGGGGGCTGTCATTGGTTCAAGTCACAGGGAAGAGAGAGCTTCAGGTGAAGCCAACTTGAGGTTCTGTGAATGCTCCTAAATGCTAGCATTATAGTTCTGATTTCAGATACTCCTAAACTCTGATATTATGGTTCTCATTGGGTACTGATGAGAATATTAGAGGGCCTGCCAAAACCAATAGTAGTGAAACTCCCTTTTGCATTTGGGCTATTTTAACTACAAAATCACTCATGCTCATATTTTGCTATTCTTTAGTTGCACATCAGCTACTTGGATTACTCATGCTTTAAGCTAAGCTCTTATTAAGTCCTTCCTTGTGACCGTCTGAATGGAATAAGCAGCAGGTCAATTTGTTCTATGTGATATCGGATTCAGCTCAAGTGGGATCTATCAAGCTTTTAGTTTCCCACAAAAGCGAGAATTAATTAGAGCTTACTAATGGACTATGAGTTCTGAGAAGCTGCAGTTTCTGTTCTCTGAAATTCAATGTCACCAAAGAATGCCAGCTTTGATAACTGTCACTTTGGAATGAAGTGTTTTTAGCAAGGGACAAAACACAAAAGTAAAACTACTGCTTGCTTTCGAGTTATTGAAACTGGGATACAATGTGCAGAATGATATTCTTATACTCTTCATCCCGCTACATTTGGAGCACTCTGATGAATACAATGAGCCAGACAAATTTTGGATCTTATGACTATCATCTTCTGATACTCCTTCCTGTTTGGTTCTCCTGTCAATCCACTACCATTGTGCCAACCTTAGTTGTAAACAAGAGTTAATTTCATTTAGGCATAAACTTTTACCTGAAAATATAAATATGGTCAATGTTATATCTAACGATTTCAGGGACCTCATTCACAAATTGTGAAATTGACTATGCCGCTGAAAACATGGACAATTTAATGTCTATGCCTCATAGCTTATTGGAAAGCCTGCCAACAAATTAAGTAATATCTATGACAGAGCCCTCCTGAAATAGCTACATTGATTTGGCACAAGTACAAAATTGATGTCAACATCTTAACAAAGAAAAGTTTCACGATTTCTCATGTTATACCATGTCTCTTTATCAGTATCAATGTTGTTTTCAAAAGAAGATTTAGTAACCTGCAGAGAAGATATAGTAACTTTTACCTGAACAGAGCAACCAAGCAAATCTAAAGTTTATTTCCTGCTTTGTTTTCATATTTGTGTTAACCCAATTAAATTAAAAACTTATACTTGGAACTCTGATATGCAGGAGCAGTCGACAATTCCAACACTGTACGTACACACATTGACAAATATGATACACCCATCCCAGATTTATGTGCTCTGTTTAAACCGAAGCCTCCAATAAGGTAGTTGGTCTCCTGTTAGCTCAGCATAGCTTGACTATGACTTCAACTTACCTACAACTGTCTACATGATGTGATGCAGCCTGACGAAAACTCAAGATGAAAAATCAAAATTCGAAAAAGGATTACAAATTTATTTCTTCCTCACCCTCTCAACCACTGAGTTTTGCAGAAAGCATCACAAACTGTTGTCAAGTTCAATGGCCCTTTTTGCAGCGGATTGATAGTTCCAATTCAGTTTCTACCTACATTTGCAAGACCCAACCCGCAAAGATGGATTGACCAGGTCGGAGGGGGCAGCTAAGCCGCGCCTGGTTTTCTAGTTGAGACCTGAAGTGGCCCATGCCCTAAGTGGCCCTGTTGGGCAGCTGGAAGAAAACTGGCCACTGCCCCCTGTATGGATTGTACTGCCTTAAATTATGATTTCATGAATCATACCGAATGTGCTGAAACATCTGTTTTTTCACTAAAATTGAGAAATGAGAAGCACTGAAAACATCAGCTCATTTACCGATTGGGTAATTTCATCTCACATTGGATCAGCCCTGAAACCACGAGATCTACAACTTTCATATCAAATCGTTTTTTTTTTCGGAATTGAATGAAGATAATTTTTATATGAAAATTATAGATCTCGACGAGATCTACGACTTTCTAGTTTTGAGTTTTTCATTTGAAGTCGTTAAGATGCTAAAAAAATTAATGACATATTTAGACTTAAGGTATTTTCGACTTTTCACACCTGCAGCATGACGACGTTAGAGTCCAAACTAACGGCAGTGGCATGGAGGATATAAAAAAGTTGAAGTACTGGCGCTGAAGACCGTTTTGAACTTTTCTAGGGGCTCACAGAGCATTGCGATATTTTTTAACAGCACACAAGGAATTCCCCCATCAAACAGAGGACGTGGACGAGGGACCGTGGGAGGGAGGGATCTACGACATACCAGTAAGGTCTCCTGTGATCAGCACGAGGTCGGGGTTGACCATGGCCAGCGCCGGGCCGACGTACCGCCGGAAGTCGTAGGCGCGCTCCGGGTGGTGCACGCTGAAGTGGAGATCCGAGAGCTGGGCCACCCACACAACCCCGTCCGGCGCACCGGACACCTCCACCACCTCTCTCTCGTCACGGGACATGGCGGACGGAGCCGCCGCCGCGGCGATGAGGAGCAGTAGAACGGGGAGGAGCCGCTTGCCGCGCGTCTCCATGGCGAAGGCGAAGGCGGGGGCCTCCAGGAGCACAACGGGACTGCGATTCTGTGTGTCATGTGTGTGGAGTACTAGGCAGGTAGCCGGAAACTCGATCGGGCACGGGCCCCCGAGCTCTTACCCCTGACCCGGCGATGGGTAGGCATGGAGACGTGGATGTAGGGTCTCCAAATTCTAAGTTTTTTCACTTTCTCTTCATCACATCAATTTTTGGATGTATACATGGAGCATTAAATGTAGGTAAAAAATAATTAATTACACAGTTTGGTTGTAAATCATGAGATGGATCTTTTGAGCCTAGTTAGTCCATGATCGGACAAAGTTTGTCAAATACAAACGAAACGTACTACAGTGTCCAGGTTGTAAAAATTTACAATCTAAACAAGGCCTAGATATTTTTTTTTTCGTCGTCGTCGTCGTCGTCTTCTTCTTTTTTGTTGGGCACGGTGGAAGGAAGCTTCCTGACGCGCTCACGGCGTTGACCGAGAGGCCGGCTGGCGCTGGCCGGGCAGGAGCCCACGGCGGGGTGCACGCCCGGATTTGGCCTTTGGAGCGGGCTGCCCGAGCCCGAGGTCCTGTACAGGTAGGACGAGCCCCCGTATCTTCCGAGAAGGGGCTGAAAGATGGGTTTTGGAGCTACACCAATCCCATACTGGAGGCTTGTATCTAGTGGACTGGTACAGGAATCAACTGAATCCATCTATTCAATCCTTTCAAGGTTATATTTTACCATACTCTCAAGGGTACTTCTGAAATCACTTCTCGGAAGGCACTGCACAGCACCGAGGGATGTACACCGGAACCACCCAAATTACATGTACTAAAGACTCGATAACTCTGATAATCTGTCGGATACCCTCGAAAAATACTGAATCATCCGTATTTTACAGCCCATATAAGATTAATATAAAGTTACCACAACATTACAACACTTGATATAAAAATAACTTACATTACAAAGCGTAAGATTTATAACATTAGGTTACAAAATATGGCAGGTGAAATCTTAATTCTAAAAGGTGAGTAGTACTACTGAATCAACTTAGATAAAGCATCTAAAGTATAAGAGATAGCCAGATCATGTCGAGCCCATCGACATGACCTCGATTAACACCATAAGTCAGAACCTGCAACAGGGGAAAGATAAACCCTGAGTACTTGACGGTACTGAACAAGTCTTATCCGACTAAAAGAAAAGACTCTAAGAGCATGCAGGCTTAAAGGAAAGTCTGAAGCAAGAGGAACTTTTACAGAAAAGTTTACTACCAGTGGATCCTTACTCTAAATGTTTTAGCTTCGTATTAGGTTAACAGTAGTATCCAGTTTACACATAATCTAGCTCAATCACTTCTTTAAACATCTCATCTCATATCCATAAGTAACTATGTTTTATTGATTAACTATGATGCAGTTCAGTTGATCACGTCTCCTGTTACCGTAGAGCAAACGGCGATTCAAATCGATTTGGCCCAGTTGGCGTTTCCTTACCACACGACATATGCAGATCCCGATTTCGGACTTACATATATCAACCTTCACTCGGATCCTACAAAACATGAATAGGTTTCTACGCTACCCGAGAACACAGTACTCCACCTCCCTACGCCACTCCTAGCAGATTCACAGGATGAGTACACACTACTCTCACCATTTCTCCATTCTCAGTGCGCGGTTGTCCTTTCACATAATGGAATAGCCGAGGTATCAGGCTTACCGGAGTATGTAGCCAGTACTACAAGTCACGATCACAAGCGGCCCTACAACGATCGGTTCTTAATCGACACAGGCGGAACGAGCACAACTAGACAAAATTGTCTACCCCACTTACCGTAACATCAAGTCTCGCCGATCTCAATTTAACATTATCATTTCATGGTATTCTCACGACCCAAAAACAGAGCCGAGAAGGACCAGGTAAAACCTATTTCCTGCGAACGATGAAACCATCATTCGATTTCTATCGAGGTCTAAGCATTACGAAGCATTAGAGGTATCAACCTATTCAAACTAACATGGTAGAACTAAGGATACCTGAATATCAAGGTAATCATGCCGCAACGGTATTCGATCAACTTCTAATTACTTAATGCACATCTCACAAGACTTAAAGTGTAATAAAGATTTGTACAGACTAGAGAAGGTGTTATGCTTCGGGGCTTGCCTGCGTTGTAGAGAAGGTTAGATTCCATAGAAAGATCCACTAGTCAGACTTGGCACCAACACCACTGGTGGATGAACCTTCTCCGAAACTTGGTCAACACGAACCTTCTCACTCTTGTAGGTACTACACGTAATAAATGATGTTTTGCTTAACATGATGGACTACATGCCATGATATATGATGAGAGCATTCAAGTGCATAACAGAAGATAAACAAAGTTAACAAAGTTGAGTACAACTTTCCTTCACCAAAGAAGTAGGGTTATTATCATAAAAGCATTTTCATTATTTAACTAATGAGTTAATTAGTTGTTATCATGAAAGCAACACTTAAACTAATTAAGAAAGACAAGGTATCTAACTAACATTGCATCAAGTTCACTCATCAGGGCAGCAAGGATCATTACATGTCCTAACCACATGCATTTACTAATTAGTTATTTGAGTTAACTATTTTATTTATTAACTAACAAGTTAAATATGAGCATAACAAAGAAATAAAAGAGTTGCCAAGTAACAACAAAGGGATTAGTGTTCCAAGGTCCACAATCAAGCCCAAAATCACATCAAAGTCATTTAGGGATTTTCCTAATTTATTTTAGTATTTATTAATTAAGGAAAAGACATTTAAACACATTAAATTAATTAACCAATTTAAAATTATCAAAATAGTACCAAACTTTTTGTAAAAAGAAGGTATTAGCGTGTAAAGCATACACAAAAAGTTTCATGATTAAAGCATAATTATTTTAGCCTATAAAAATTATGCAAGGTCCATTTAATAATTAAAAGAGGTAATTTTTAAGCATACCAAAACTAATGAAAATGACTAATTCATATTTTTCCATGGTAGAGCACATCATGACAAAGCTACACAAAAATTTTCATATTTTTATCACACTCCTGCATTTAGTTATGAATTAAACAAGAATCAACACTTTTAAACATTTTGTGAAATAGATAATATCATTTATCTGCGCCAAATCCATTTTTCACTCACCCCTGCCCTACCCCTTCTCACTGACACGTGGGGCCAGGGTCAAACCCAACCCTGCCCGTGTTGACCGCGAGCTCACCGGCCTTTGACCGGTGGGTGTTTGTCGACGGTGATCTCGCCGGCGACGAGACCAACACCGACGGACTCGTCTCTCTCTCGCGCACACACGCTGGTGGTGACGGTTGATCAGTTAGGGCACGGCGGCGACTACGCCGACAGTCATGGTGGCCCGGCATTGCTCCGGTGCGGCGGAGGTGACCGACGGTGGCACCTCCGGCGATGGAGACAACACCAACAACTTCCCCTCTACCTCATGAACCTACCCCTTGCTATCGGTTGATTGAGTTAGGGCTCCGTGCGTGCTCGGCCATAGTCATGGCAGCACGGTGGGGCAGAGTGCGGTGGTGCTACGGCGTTCCTGTCACTACGGTGCGGTAGAAGCTAAACGGGCGACGCGGTTAGCACCAGGAGCTCATCATGACTTCAACGCGTGTCCTGGTTGAGATGGGGACGAGACGGAGCTCAATGGTCAGCGGTGATGGCGCATGCTATGGCAGAACCACCCTAATTATATGGCCCACATGTTCCTATCATTGTCTCAAGGACCTCTAATTGTTGCACACGAGAGCCAGATAATTCAGGTAGTCTGTCGGGTGTCCTCGGGGAACCCCGAATCATCCACATTTTATAACTCATACAGGATCAACATGGAGTTACCACAACATTACAACAGTTGGTACAAAAAAATCTTACATCAGAGTGCGGAAGGCTTATAACATTAGTATACAAAACATGTTCAAGTCAAATCTTTAACTAAGCTCCAAATGGTGAGTAGAATTGCAGAAACAACTTAGGTGAATTATCTAAGGTAGAAGAGACGACCAGATCATGTCGAGCCCACTGACATGACCTCGATTGGGAGCACTAGTTAGAACCTGCAACAGGGTTTAACAAACCCTAAGTACTTAAGGGTACTTAACTAGTCTTATCCGACTAAAAGAAAAGACTCCAACGGTATGCAGGCCTTAAAGGAAAGTTTGAAGCAAGAAATAACTTTTGTAGAAAAACTTACTATAGGTGGATCCTTACTTTCTATGTTTTAGCTTTTGTATTAAGTCATTATGGTATCCAGTTTGCACCTGATCTAAATCAATCACTTCTTTAATCAGCTCATCTCATCTTCATCTCTTATCTATAAGTTACCATGTTCCATTGATTAACTACGATGCAGGGCAGATGATCGAGTCTCCATAATCGAGGAGCACAACGATTCGAATCGATTAGTTCTAGCTGGGATTTCCTTACCACATGACATATGCAGGTCTAGGTCCGGTCCCGAACCTACATATATCAACCTTCACTCGGATCCTCTAAAACGTGAACCAGTCTGCGCTACCCGACAGCACAGTACTCCACCTCCCTGCGCCACTCCTGGTGAATTCACAAAATGTGCACATGCTATTCTCACCATCTCCCACGCCTAGCGCGCAGTTGTCTTTTCACATAATAGAATAGCCGAGGTATCAGGCTTACCGGAGTATATGGCCAGTACTATAAAGTCTCGAACACATACAAGCCTACAACGAACGGTCCTTAATCGACACAGGCGAGACGAGCACGACCAGGCGAGCCTGTCTGCCCAAGAACACTTATCATAACATCGAGCCCTGCCCGGTCTCAATTTAACATATCATTATCACAATATTCTCATGATCCATAAACAGAGTCGAGAAGAACCAAGGTAAAACCTATTTCTCACGAACGATGAAACCATCATTTGACTTCTATCGAAATCTAAGCATTACTAAGCATTAGAGGAAATGACCTACACATACCAGTGGGG